CTTACCAGGCTGACGACTCGCACCCCTGGCTTGATGCGTGGAGCAGCAACGGGACGGACCGGGCTGACGATGCGCACCCCTGGCTTGGTGCGTGGAGCCGGAACGGGCCTCACCGGACTGACGACTCGCACCCCTGGCTTGGTGCGTGGAGCAGCAACGGGCTTTACCAGGCTGACGACTCGCACCCCTGGCTTGGTGCGAGTAGCAGGAACGGGCTGGACCAGGCTGACGACTCGCACCCCTGGCTTGGTGCGAGTAGCAGGAACGTTCTGGACCAGGCTGACGACTCGCACCCCTGGCTTGGTGCGAGTGGCAGGAACAGGCCGGGCCAGGCTGGCGACGCGCACCGTAGGCTTGGTGCGAGTGGCAGGAACAGGCCGGGCCGGGCTGGCGACGCACACCGTAGGCTTGGTGCGAGTGGCAGGAACAGGCCGGGCCGGGCTGGCGACGCACACCGTGGGCTTGGTGCGAGGGGCAGGAACAGGCCGGGCCGGGCTGGCGACGCACACCGTAGGCTTGGTGCGAGTGGCAGGAACAGGCCGGACCGGGCTGTGGAGACGGATAGGAGACCTGGAGTGAAGAGTGGCCACAACCCGTCCTGGCTGAATGCCTACCTTCACACACTCCGTGTGAGGCATCCGCACAGGACGTACAGGGCTGTGTACCCGTACTGGCATAACAGCACGTGACACTGGAGCAGGATATCCGGGACCGCGGAGAGGCATTGGAGACCACGAGCGTTGAGCCGGCACACTCCGTCCTGGCTGCATACCCACCTTCGCACGACACGTGCGGGGTGCTCGCACAGGACGTACCGGACTATGCCGGACCACTAGTGGCACAGTACGCCGCTCCGCATACCGCGGAACCTGCCCCGTCCCATGCTGCCATGCCTGAGTACGGGAAGTTGGTTCCGCTCTCCATCCAGGCTCCGCCAACCTGCCTTCTGGCCCCCCAAACCCGGTGGCCTCCTCTCCAAATCATCCTGTGGCAGCCTCCTGCTGCCCAGTCGCCCATGCCGTGTGCCCCCCCCTAAAACTTTTTTGGGGTTGCCTCTCGTCCGTCCGACGATGACACTGCTGACGCCGCTGCTCCTCTCTCGCCAGGGCCTTAATCCTAGCCCATGGCCCTTTTCCCCCGAGCATGTCCTCCCAGGACCACACTTTGCCCACCTGGGCCATCGCCAACCTCTCCATCTCCTTTCCCGGCGCTTCCTCCCATGTCCAGTCTGCCTGCTCCTGGACACGCTGCTTGGTCCTTGTATGGTGGGTTCTTCTGTCACGATCGTCGTAGGGAATAGACCAAGGCGCAGCGTGATGAACGAACATGTTTATTTATCTATAGTGATAAATACTGACAATGAACAAAACAACAAACGACTCGTAACGTCCTAGGTAACATAGACCAACACGGAACAAGAACCCACAAACACAAAGGGAAAAACAGAAAGTTTAAATATGGCTCCCAATCAGAGACAACCAGCCACAGCTGACACTCGTTGCCTCTGATTGGGAGTCACTCAGGCCAACATAGAAATAAACAAACTAGAACTCCCAACATAGAAACAGAACACATAGAATGAACACACCCTGGCTCAACATATAGAGTCCCAGAACCAGGGTGTGACAACCTTCTCCTGGTTCCTCTTAAGATTGCTTATAGCATGGGTTTTTAGATAGACACAGCCTGTATTGTTGAGGTCTGCTTGTGGAAAAATGCATGTTGTAGATAAGAACAATATAATGTACACTGCTGGTTGCTGCCATGGTTGTGGTAGATATGACACTGAAATGGAATGTGTGCATTCCTGTAGCGTGCTGAGAGCTCTAATATTGTCCTCCTGTTGCTTTCAGGAAAAGGAGGAGCAGGGATCCCAGGAGTCCCCTGAGAAAGAGGAGGAAGAGGATGAGGAAGATTAGCTGTAACTGCTTTTTACAATCAACACTACCATCATTCAATATAATGGGCTAACCTTCCAACCAGAGCCTGACTTACACGTCACTCATCAATTCTCCATGGTGACTGTTACGTAGGGGTGGGGAAATGTATCTTCTTTTTACAACTGGAAATAAATACGTATCTGATATTTAACATAGTCAGTAGAATGTAAATAAAATAACTTGAGCATCTAGCACTCCCCATTGAATTGTTCTAATCCACAATAGAAAATTAGGCTTTCATAATTTCTTGAATTTCATATTAAAGTGTGATATTTGATGAATTTGCGTTTCTTCATCTCCTGTTCTGAGCCTCTCCACACTCAAGGAACAGAAAACACATCTGATGTTTGTGTTTGAACAGGTTGATATTTCACTGTGTCTCTCTCAGAAAGCAAGACACAGCAAAGCATCTAAATCCCTATTTATTACATCTAGCTAATCTATTTTATTGTGTTCGTGTTCACATACTGTTCTGGCTGTCCATAAAATGACTATGAAATGGATTACAAACTATCACGGATTGCAAAGGGAAACCCAGCCACGAACTTCCCAGTCACACGAGACGAGCTAAATGCCTTCTATGCTCGCTTCGAGGCAAGCAACACTGAGCCAAGCATCAGAGCACCAGCTTTTCTGGACGACTGTGTAATCATGCTCTCCGTAGCCGATGTGAGTAAGACCTTTAAACAGGTTAACATTCACAGGCGGATTACCAGGATGCGTACTCAGAGCATGTGCTGACCAGCTGGCAAGTGTCTTCACTGACATTTGCAACCTCTCCATGACCCTACATGTTTCAAGCAGACCACCATAGTCCCTGTGCCCAAGAACGGCAAGGTAACCTGTATAAATGAATATCGCCCGTAGCGCTCACATCTGTAGCCATGAAATGCTTTGAAAGGCTGGACATGGCTCACATCAACACCCACTCCAATTCACATACTGCCCCAACAGATCCACAGATGACGCAATCTTATTACACTCCACACTGTCCTTTCCCACTTGGACAAAAGGAACACCTACGTGAGAATGCTGCTCATTGACTACAGCTCAGCTTTCAACACCATAGTGCCCACCAAGCTCATCACTAAGCTAAGGTCCCTGGGTCTGAGCTCCCTCTGCAACTGGATCCTGGACTTCCTGACAGGCCGCCCCCAGGTGGTGATGGTAGGCAACAACACATCCGCCACGCTGACCCTCAACACGGGGGCCAGTCAGGGGTGCGTGCTTAGTCCCCTCCTGTACGCCCTGTTCACGCACGACTGCGTGGCCGCGGACGACTCCAACACCATCATTAAGTTTGCCGACAAACTTCAAGTTCCTCGGTGTCCACATCACTAAGGATCTATCATCTAACTAGCTATCTAACACATAACATGCACACTGATGCCCAGGGGCGCAACTTTCACTGGTAATGGGGGGGGACATGTCCCACCAACATTCAGAAATTGTATTTCTGTCCCCCCCAGTTTTATCATTGGAATGTGATACAAAAGGAGGCAAAGGTGTGCATTAGGACCATGCGGACGGCTCCAAGTGGTCGGGTAGGCTGTTTGGAGTGTTTATCTGACTGAAAATATAATAGTAATAATTGTGTCCCCCCCACTTCTAAAACCGAAGTTGCGCCTATGCTGACGCCACACACTCACACCACATACACTGCTGCTACTGTCTATGATCTATCCTGTTGCTTAGTCACTCTACCCCTACCTATATGTACATTGCTACCTCAATTACCTCGAACCCATGCACATCGACTTGGTACTAGTACTCCCTGTATATAGACATGTTATTTTCTACTCCCTATATATAGGAATGTTATTTTTACTCGTTATTTGTATTCATTCACTATGTATTTATTCCTTGTGTCACTATTTATATATTTTATTTACAAAAATTATATCTTATCTTTAACTCTGCATTGTTGGAAATGTACCTGTAAGTAACATGGGCGGCAGGTAGCTTAGTGGTTAAGAGCGTTGTGCCAGTAACCGAAAGGTCGCTGGTTCTAATCCCCGAGCCAACTAGGTGAAAAATCTGTCGATGTGCCCTTGAGCAAGGCACTTAACCCTAATTGCTCCTGTAAGTCGCTCTGGATAAGAGCGTCTGCTAAATGACGTAAATGTAAAAATGTAACATTTCACTGTTAGTCTACCCCCCCAGCTAGCACATGGTGTCCGCTTCCCGCCTGCTGTGTACCGGAGTAGCTAGTGGTAGGCGCGGGCATCAGGTAGACAGTGTCCTTCGCTCCCACCTGCTGATCACATGCCCTTCCTGTCGTTAACAGAACTGCTGGAAAACAGTGTCCGATGCCCGCGCCTACCACTAGCTTCTCTGGGACACAGCAGGCGGGAAGCGGGGGTGACACCATGTGCTAGCTAGCTAACTAGCTAGTTAGCTACGGCATGTGCTACCTTGCTAGCTAGCACATGGTGTCACCCCCGCTGCTGTGTACTGGAGTCCACTTTAGGACTAACTAGCACACAGTGTCCTTTGCTCCTGCCTGCCGGACACCTTCCATCATTAATAGAACTGCTGGGAAACAGTGTCTACAGGCAGGGGTGAAGGACACTGTCTACCATTGTCACCCTCACATTTTAGCCATTTAGCAGACGCTCTTAGTCAAAGCAACTTACAGTTAGTGAGTGCATACATTTTTTTTCATACTGGCCCCCCGTGGGAATCGAACCCACAACCCTGGCGTTGCAAGCGCCATGCTCTACCAACTGAGCTACAGGGGACTCACCTCTTCTTTGGTGGGGTTTATCGACAGTTGGCACCCAACATGAAATGTGCATTACCACTACCTACTGTAATGGAGCGCCCCCATCTCCCTCCTGTCCTAGCTTTAAAAATAATAGAAGTATAAAGAGGGGTTCCTGCAGATGCAGCAATGCCCACATGCAGGAAAGCCCCGAATTGCGGACCGAAATTGCACCCTCTGCGAAACTAGCGTCATTTGCGTAAATTCTCTACTTAGTTTCGTTTTTTCGTAATTCGATGCCATATTCCTCAAAACAAGATACGTAATATCCTAAAGCCACTTTCGTTCAAATGTGTCATGTTACGTTGTTTACGCAGTTATCTTCATAATGGCGACCGTGCTGGAGAAGCTCCTATGCTTGTGAAAATGAAGCGAATAAGTTATTTATTATAATAAAACGCCGGGGTTCCCCATAGGAGGACGTTGCGTCGAAGACAGCGGCTTCCCCAGTGTTTGAATTACTGTTTTGGTCCATTGGTAACCCGAAATGATGAAGCTCAAGTCAAACCAAACCCGGACATACGATGGGGATGGCTACAAGAAGCGGGCCGCCTGTCTATGCTTCAGGAGTGAAAGTGAAGAGGAGGTGAGGCCGAGGATGCAGGGGTGTAGGGTGGGCCGCAGTTCAGGAAAACACAAATAGCATGGTAGCTGTAGTTAGCTAGTGTTTGTCATTTGCTAATTGGGAAGGTAACTTAGCTAACTACTTTAGCTAACTGTTAGCTACTGGTTTTGGTGTGGTGGTTTGTTTTGTTGAATCAGCGAACAGGTCGACCACCCAGGGATAGCTAGCTAGTTAACGTTGTGATAGCTGGCAACTACAAAGAGTGGGCTATTTTATTATATCTAGCTAGCTAGTTAACTCGTTGCGGCTAACCAAACAGTACAAATATTACTAACTAGTTGTTGGCCACATTGTTGGTTACCTAGCTAGCTAGGCTAACTAAGGCGTAGCCAACTAACGTTAACTTTTATAATAACATCTCTTGCTACTTGCTAACCAGTGCGCTAGCCAGCAATATCTTCTTGCTATCTAGCTAACATTGTTAATGCTAGCTAGCTAGTATCTTTCTGGTTATAGTGATCACTTTAAACACTGACAATCAATCAATGTTTAGCAACATTGTCAATGGCTCAAAACTAGTGTTGACTCGTGTTAGTAAAGATAATTTAGCTAGCGCCAATGACTAGTTATCTAGCCACATTTACTAGATGGATAGCTACCGTTAGCTAGATAGCTAGTTATGGGCCTTCCTTTGCTTGCCTGGGACTAGCAACAGGTAACTTGACTGGACCTACCACTAACTAACCTTGCTTGTGAGAAAACTAGCTACCTACCTAGTTATTCCTTCAATTTAGCTAGCAAATCTGAAATGTGGGTAGCTTAGTGGTTAAGAGCGTTGTCAGTAACCGAAATGTCGCTGGTTCTAATCCCCGAGCCGACTAGGTGAAAAATCTGTCGATATGCCCTTGAGCAAGGCACTTAGCCCTAATTGCTCCTGTAAGTCGCTCTGGATAAGAGCGTCTGCTAAAATGATTAAAATGTAAATGTACTAGCTATTTTATCTGGAGGTCAGCTAACAACCCATTGCATCACTCATATGGCCCATATTATGGGTGCCAACATGGCAAAAGACAAGTTGGTGTCACCAAGCCATCTGTCATCACTGACACTGCTGTAGTAATCAATGATTTATATAGCTATACACACGTCATTGGTAGTAATATGTCTCGGTTGTTTATGCCAGGGAGCTATGCCTAAATTATGCATGCATAATAACTATATACATTAGGCCAGGGGTGGCAAACTCATTCCATGGAGGGCCTAGTGTCTTCAAGTTTTTCTTTCTTTCCTTTCAATTAAGACTTAAACGACCAGGTGAGGGGAGTTCCTTACTAATTAGTGTCCTTAATTCATCAATCAAGTACAAGGGAGGAGCGAAAACCCGCAGACACTTGGCCCTCTGTGGAGTGAGTTTTGACATGTGCATTAGGCGATCAGTTCTTGCAAATGTCACCTGTAATTTGAATATGACATGTTTTCTTCAACTGAGTAGAGAAGTTATCTCAACAACATGCTCTGCTGTGTTTACATTGAAACCTGAAACTCTAGATTTGATTGATAGTGCTCAATACTGTATCCTTTTACTGCAGGTGCTGTTGGTGAGTAGTAGTCGGCATCCAGACAAGTGGATCGTCCCTGGTGGAGGGATGGAGCCAGAAGAGGAGCCCAATGTAGCAGCAGCACGAGAAGTCTGTGAAGAGGTTAGTTTCTTTCCCTCTCATATCATTGACTGTAATCATTCAAACTACATTCCCACACTGCTTTGTATCCCTGCATTTCAGGGAACCTGTAGGTGTCTCCCATAGTCTGTTATGGATATTGGAGATGTTGCTCTCTTTGTTTTAGGTGTGGCTTTTGGGGTAGACAAAATCAATGTTTTTTTTATTGCAAACCACACCCCTGGATTACAAATGGCATCAAGTTGTTGAGATTTGCTAATGTGAGTAGTAACACATTTTGTCTGCCGCTGTTGGTCCCATGCTGTTTACCTTGATATAGCTTTTTGAAAGACCGCTCTAAGTTTTGAGCTCAACACGTATATTAATCCAAGTTGGTCAAAACACATCCACTTTGGGCAGTGCAGTTGATCTTGATCATACTCAGTGTACTGAGAAAAGAATGGCAACATCCACAGTAGCTAAGCAGACAGGAATATTAAAGTGCCAAAGGGAGTTTGGCAACTATTATTTTTTAAACCTCATGCTTTGGGCTGGATGTGTCAATGTGTAGTTCATGTATGCATAATCTATGAGCAAAATTAATCTGGTACCTCAATTAGCCACGAAATTGGAAGCGGTGCGGCACCATTTTCCCCCACGTGGGCCATCCCCCTAGCAATTCGAGTTCTAGCCAATAAGCTTCAGCCCCTCGCCATTTGAGTGACGGCTAGCAAGATGCGCACACACAGCAGAGAGAGAGCAATGATGTGGTGCACATATCTGCACATATGTGACGTAGTATGCAACTTTTGGGGACCACTTTTGGCTTGTGAGCGCTACTTTCAGAACTACTGGCAAAAAAGTTTACAAAAGTACCAGAGAATCTCTTTAAAGGGATACTTTGGGATTTTGGCACTGAGGCCCTTTATCTACCTCCCCAGAGTCAGATGAACTCGTGGATACCATTTTTATGTCTCTGTGTCCAGTATGAAGGAAGTCAAGAGGTAGTTTCGCGAGCCAATGCTAACTAGCGTTAGCGCAATGGCTGGAAGTCTATGGGTATGTGCTAACATTTGTGTGTTGACATAATGTAGCCTATTCTCTATTTATACTTTGATGCCTAGTCACTTTACATTTACGTCATTTAGCAGGCGCTCTTATCCAAAGCGACTTACAAATTGATGCATTCACCTTATAGCCAGTGGGATAACCACTTTACAATTATTATTTTTTTTGGGGGTGGGGTAAGGGGGGTGGTTAGAAGGATTACTTTATCCTATCCCAGGTATTCCTTAAAGAGGTGGGGTTTCAAATGTCTCCGGAAGGTGGTGAGTGACTCCGCTGTCCTGGCGTCGTGAGTGAGCTTGTTCCACCATTGGGGTGCCAGTGCAGCGAACAGTTTTGACTGGGCTGAGCGGGAACTGTGCTTCAGCAGAGGTAGGGGAGCCAGCAGGCCAGAGGTGGATGAACGCAATGCCCTCGTTTGGGTGTAGGGACTGATCAGAGCCTGAAGGTACGGAGGTGCCGTTCCCCTCACAGCTCCGTAGGCAAGCACCATGGTCTTGTAGCAGATGCGAGCTTCAACTGGAAGCCAGTGTAGTGTACGGAGGAGCGGGGTGACGTGAGAGAACTTGGGAAGGTTGAACACCAGACGGGCTGCGGCATTCTGGATGAGTTGTAGGGGTTTAATTGAACCATGATGATTTAATATTTACATTTGAACCCAGGGACTTTTCTTGTTTACACACAATACCCTATAATGTCAAAGTGGAATTATGTTTTTATTTTTACAAATTAATAAAAAATGAAAAGCTGAAAAGTCTTCAGTCAATAAGTATTCAACCCCTTTGTTATGGCAAGCCTGAATAAGTTCAGGAGTAAAAATGTGCTTAACAAATCCAATAGTTACACATAGTGTTTAACATGCTTTTTGAATGAATACCTTGTCTCTGTACCCCACAAATACAAGTATCTGTAAGGTCCCTCAGTCAAGCAGTGAATTTTAAACACAGATTCAACCACAAAGACCAGGGAGGTTTTCCAATGCCTCGCAAAGAAGGGCACCTATTGGTAGATGGAAAAAATAAAAGCAGACATTGAATATCCCTTTGAGCATGGTGAAGTTATTAATTACGCTTTGGATGGTGTATCAATACACCCAGTCACTACAAAGATACAGTCGTCCTTCCTAACTCAGTTGCCGGAGAGGAAGGAAACCAGGGATTTCACAATGAGACCAGTGGTGACTTTAAAACAGTTTACAGAGTTTAGTGGCTGTGATAGGAGAAAACTGAGGATGGATCAACAACATTGCAGTTACTCCACAATACTAACCTAATTGACAGAGTGAAAAGAATGAAGCCTGTACAGAAAAAAATATATTCCAAAACATGCATCCTGTTTGCAACAAGGCGCTAAAGTAATACTGCAAAAAATGTGGCAAAGCAATTAACTTTTTGTCCTGAATACAAATCCAATACAACACATTACTGAGTACCACTCTCCATATTTTCAAGTATAGTGGTGGCTGCATGATGTTATGGGTGTGCATGTAATCGTTAAGGACTGGGTAAGTTAAGGACTAGGAGTTTTTCAGGATAAAAAAGATACGAAATGGAGCTAAGCACAGGCACAATCCTAGAGGAAAACCTGGTTCAGTCTGCTTTCCACCAGACACTGGGAGATGAATTCCCATTTCAGCAGGACAATAACCTGAAAATGGTTGTCTAGCAATGATCAACAACCCATTTTTAGAGAATTTTATGGGCAAATGTTGCACAATTCAGGTGTGGAAAGTTCTTAGAGACTTACCCAGAAAGACTCACAGCTGTAATCGCTGCCAAAGGTGCTTCTACATAGTGTTGACTCGGGTGTGAATTCTTATGTAAATTCGATATTTCTGTATTTCATTTTCAATACATTTGCTAACATTTCTAAAAACATTTCACTTTGTCATTAAGGGAAATTAATTTATTTAATCCATTTAGAATTCAGGCTTTAACACAACAAAATGTGAAATAAGTCAAAGGGTATGAATACTTTCTGAAGGCACTGTAGGTAATGATTAGATTTATTTATTTTTTATTTCACCTTTATTTAACCAGGTAAGCCAGTTGAGAACAAGTTCTCATTTACAACTGCGACCTGGCCAAGATAAAGCAAAGCAGTGCGATAAAAACAACAACACAGAGTTACATATGGGGTAAAAAAAAAAACATAAAGTCAAAAATACAACAGAAAATATATATACAGTGTGTGCAAATGTAGCAAGTTATGGAGGTAAGGCAATAAATAGGCTATAGTGCAAATTAATTACAATTAGTATTAACACTGGAATGCTAGATGTGCAAGAGAGTATGTGCAAATAGAGATACTGGGGTGCAAAGGAGCAAAATAAATAACAATATAGGGATGAGGTAGTTGGGTGGGCTAATTTCAGATGGGCTGTGTACAGGTGCAGTGATCGGTAAGGTGCTCTGACAACTGATGCTTAAAGTTAGTGAGGGAGATAAGTGTCTCCAGCTTCAGAGATTTTTGCAATTCGTTCCAGTCATTGGCAGCAGAGAACTGGAAGGAATGGCGGCCAAAGGAGGTGTTGGCTTTGGGAATGACCAGTGAGATATACCTGCTGGAGCGCAGACTACGGATGGGTGCTGCTATGGTGACCAATGAGCTAAGATAAGGCGGGGATTTGCCTAGCAGTGATTTATAGATGGCCTGGAACCAGTGGGTTTGACGACGAACATGTAGTGAGGACCAGCCAACAAGAGCGTACAGGTCACAGTGGTGGGTAGTGTATGGGGCTTTGGAGACAAAACGGATGGCACTGTGATAGACTACATTCAATTTGCTGAGTAGAGTGTTGGATGCTATTTTGTAAATGACATCGCCGAAGTCAAGGATTGGTAGGATAGTCAGTTTTACGAGGGCATGTTTGGCAGCATGAGTGAAGGAGGCTTTGTTGCGAAATAGGAAGCCGATTCTAGATTTAACTTTGGATTGGAGATTCTTAATGTGAGTCTGGAAGGAGAGTTTACAGTCTAACCAGACACCTAGGTATTTGTAGTTGTCCGCATACTCTAGGTCAGACCCGTCGAGAGTGGTGATTCTAGTCGGGTGGGCGGGTGCCAGCAGCGTTCGATTGAAAAGCATGCATTTAGTTTTACTAGTGTTTAAGAGCAGTTGGAGGCTACTGAAGGAGTGTTTTATGGCATTGAAGCTCGTTTGGAGGTTTGTTAACACAGTGTCCAATGAAGGGCCAGATGTATACAAAATGGTGTCGTCTGCATAGAGGTGGATCTGAGAGTCACCAGCAGCAAGAGCGACATCATTGATATACACAGAGAAAAGTGTCGGCCCAAGAATTGAACCCTGTGGCACCCCCATAGAGACTGCCATAGGTCCAGACAACAGGCCCTCCGATTTGACACACTGAACTCTATCTGAGAAGTAGTTGGTGAACCAGGCGAGGCAGTCATTTGAGAAACCAAGGCTATTTAGTCTGCGATTTTATGTACAAAACATTCATCACCATATGTCTGCTGCTGAGGGACAAGCGAGAGCTATGAGAAAACAAGTTTTGATCAGTCATGGAAATAAAAGTGCTGAAAATAAATTGACTCCCTAGTTTAAAAAGATGAAAAACAACTGATTCAGTTTGATCATACAAACGGGGTACTTTTGGAAGGCACTTGCTTATAGATTGGGTCATGTACCGTATACTGGAGTATTTTGAAAAAGCCATTGAAATTATTTATTTGAAGTTTGTGCCATACCCGGGATATTCGGTAATATCGGCACTGAACACAAGGAGCGCTTTTTTCAAACCCCACTGACACTCTGTAATCAGAAGGTTAGCAATGCTAACAAGTACATGTAAAATCCCATAGAGAATGCTAACTAAATGCTAACGACTGCATTGTGAACATTTTGTACAGTTTCTGACCTAAACTATACAAGTAACAAAAAAATGCTACTAACAGTTTGCTGCACGCACAAAACAAATATTAGCCCGCAAGGCTCTTGATCCAGGAGGGGATTTTCGGTTGTTACCAAGCGAATGCTTGATTTTGAAAGAAGCTAACCACTTAGCTAGATAGCTAACTAGCTACTAAATTAGCAAACCAAAGGCACAACTGCAGAGCATTTAGCACATTTTAGACAGTTCATTTAATAGTTATAAGATATCTAGCTGGCAAACGTTTAGTGGTGAATTCCATACTGTAATTAGATCGCCTGGCGCATGCTGCACAACAGTGAGTGACTCACAAGGCTATGGTCTCTTGTTGTAGTGAGCTTGTAAACAAAACCATGTGTCACGTGACTATCAGAAAGTTCATAATGTGACAGCTGAAATGGAAAAACGCAATGTTCTTTATCTCCTAACGTATTGCACAAGTTGACTGCAGGTATTTATTTAAAGTAGCTATAAATATTCAAACGTATTAATGAACTTCAAATAAATAGTTTCAACGGTATTGAAAACTATCCCGTGGCTTTTTCCAAATACCCCAGTATACGGTATACTGCCCAAACCTATAAGCAAGTGCCTTCCAAAAGTACCCAGTTTGTATGATCAAACTGAATCAAACCATCTCTAGTGCTGCTGCTGGTTTAAGCCTCTTAGTGCACTGTGTTGTAATAGGTCATAATCCTTGCTCTAATTCTGATGGCCATTTGACAGGTGACTGCTTCTAATGCTGGGTGGTTTGGAGTCCGGCCAAGACTGAAAGACATAGAAGCAGGTCAAGGGTTATGGATAGTAGTGATGGGGGGGGGGGGATCGATAGTTACATATAATTTCACGATAATGTCTGAAAACAAATTGACTCTATTTTTAAAAAGATGAAAAACAATACAATATATTATAATGTTTTTCATCCTTTTAAATAGGGAGTCGATTTGTTTTCAGCACTATTATTTCCATGACTGAACAAAACTGTTTCTCATGGCTCTCTCTTGTCTCTCTGCAGCAGACATGGTGAGCAATATGTTTAGAACATCGAAACGCAATACAATCACAGTATCGAATCATAATACATATAGAATCGTTAGAATCGCAATACATATCGTATTGGCACCAAAGTATCGTGATAATATCGTATCGTGAGGTCCCTGGCAATTCCCAGCCCTAGATAGTAACGTGTCAAACTACAGTGTCCACAGCCACTCGTCCTCAACTGACCTGACCCAGCAGGGTCCAAATGGACTGGAATGCAGCTCTAATGCTCATGTTTTTCACTCACATTCTCATTATGATGTGGAGAGGGTGGCCATTTTGAGTAGAGAAGGTGGATGAGAGGAACTGAAGTCTACTCTTAATAATCCCCTGTAGCTCAGTTGGTAGAGCATGGCGCTTGCAACGCCAGGGTTGTGGGTTCGATTCCCACGGGGGACCAGTATGAAGAAAAAAAACAATGTATGCACTCACTTAACTGTAAGTCGCTCTGGATAAGAGCGTCTGCTAAATGACTAAAATGTAAATGTAATAATTAGACCTAGGCTATCCAAACCCTGCCTATTCTCCAGTCAGCCCAGTGGTGGTCTTCCCCATATGATCTGGTTGACTGCATGAAGGGTGTGTGATTGATACTGGGGTATACTTCCAATGGGGTCCAGGTTTATTAATAGGCTGAAACTGGAACCTGAAGAAGATGCATCCTCTAGTAGTATCTAAATCTGGCCCAGTACCCCTCAGTCTCTGGGAGTCAGACGCAAACAAGATATGTCTTTTTCACACTTGGAGTTGTTTACAAAACACCTTTTTATGTGTGAACCATGGCGGGTTGAGGTACTGGTGTGTGCCGGTTTTGATATAGCAGGATAATTGTGTGACAGAATATTTTTTTGAAAGCCATCTTCAGGACATGTTGTAGTACAGGCCAATTCATCACTGCAGTGACACAGGCCCTTAAGATTTGAAAGAGTAATGTATTAGTTCCTTAGATATGATTTTGTGTTTTGATTCACTTCCTTGTTTATTTTTTTGTTCAACAGGCAGGTGTGAAGGGGACTTTAGGTCGCCTAGTTGGAATTTTTGAGGTGAGTTTATGACATTCTTAGGCGTGCTGAAGGTGATTTGGGAGTGGAGAGAAATATTGACTTTGTTCTTATACATTGACTTTATTAAAAATAATATATATATATATATATATATATATATCTATCTATCTTACAGAACCAAGAGAGGAAACACAGAACCTACGTCTACATTCTTATCGTAACTGAGGTCTTGCAAGATTGGGAGGACTCGGTCAACATTGGTGAGTGGCTTTCATTTCAATCTGATTCTACTAGATTGTTTGAATTCTGGTTATAGTTGCCTATGTCTGTCTTAACTTGTTCTGTTCATGTTCCTTTAACAGGGAGAAAAAGGGATTGGTTTAAAATAGACGATGCCATACAAGTGTTGCAGTGTCACAAGCCTGTGCAGGCCACCTACTTCGAGGGTTGCCTGACCAGCAATGGGACGCCCCTGGTGGCCACGATAGGCGGAGAACTCTCCCCCACCTACAACATCAACCAGAGCTCTGTGTCGGGTATCAGATAACTAAAACAACGCTGACACAACCCCAGGAGCTCTCGCCACCACTCTCGCTCTTACTTCTATTCTTCTGTTTGTCTCAAATACCAACATGGTTTGCCTTGCCAACTCTTTTGTGCCATAATTGTGGCACAGACTTGACAAGTATTGGGTGAAGATTCTGAAACCCTTTGAAAATGTAATTTTTGATTCTTTTTTGTTATTTTCATTGTGTTGAAAATTGCATGAAGCATCCCACTCTCCCATTCTACAACCTTAACGCACCCTTAGCGTGGTGTTTATTGAATGCAAGAACTACTTTTTACTGTTGTGATGTAAAAGTGTATACTTAGTGCTTAAGCTCAAGGCTTTCAATTGTATTTTATGTCTTTTGGTTACTTTCTGTGAATGAGTGTGGCCAAGAGCGTGTTTCCCTCTTAAGGATAGGAAATTCAAGCCCGACTGTTATGTTTTTTTGGGTCCGATTTAGATTCTTTTTTTTGGGGGGGGGGGACAAAACGTACTGATATATCTGCCGAAATGTTTTACAGGGGGGAAATGAAAGTGTCATTTTCCCACTGACTTCTCATAAATTGCCATCCAAAAGAGCAGTTGTCCAATAACTATGCTTCAAATGTTGATTTCATACATTGTGACAATGACGCATCATGAGAATGGCAGCAAGTGTTCAGATAAGCGTGAGATTCACTTTTTCCTCCATCCTATTTATTGAATATCGGTTATCGTGGAATTATCGTCCGATATTAGCGGTAAAAGGCCAATATCTGCCGACAATATCGGTGAACCCATATATTGGTCGGGCTCTATAGGAAATGTTCTCTGTATCTGAATGGACAGATTGTGGAAAGTGACTTGTTTTGCATGAGCACTGGTATGTTTTCTTACACATTGGGGTGACCTGACACTGATTCTGATTGTGCAGCAGGTAGTCCTCTGTGGTAACTAAGGTCTTTGAATTCTCTTCATTTAGCTCTGCATTGTGATTATTGGTGGTAATATCTCGCAGGTTTCATCAGAAAGACAAGGCCCTTTTCCACATGTATTTATGATAATATTGTCAAGTATACCTTTTCCCTCAGTCTGGAAGCTAGCTAGCCTCTTCAATATTAACTTTTGGGCAAAACAAATACTATAGAAAGAATGTAGAAGGAGTCCCCTATAAATAACCTTTTTCTCTAGTGTCTTTACCTATTTTAACGTTCCCCTAGTCTGTTGATAGTGGTTCACTAGACACTGAAACAGTTGGCAGATCCCCAATTGACCAAATGTATGTTTGTTTATAATTTGGAATTGCATGGTGTGAACAACTGTACAGTCTTCCTCCATTTATTTTCCAGAGGGTGAAAGGACTACAGATTGCAGTGCCATCCATGGACTGACAGTTGCCTTCACCCAACACATATCATCTCTTATTCACATTTTCAAACCCCCGCCCCCCCCCACACACACTTTAACCTCAGTTTCTAGCAGATGTTTACATTGTTCATAGCATTTATTTCTCACTTAAACAAGCACTAGACAGGTAGATGGGTATTTTAGATGACTTTTCACTAAGGTATTATATACTTTTTTTTACCCTTCAGTATTGAATCTGCATCCCCCAAACAAACTCAAAGTACCTACCTGCTTGACATTGAAAGTCATGGAATCTAAAATGCTGTCTTTGGCAAGATGCAGAACAAACAAGCTTTGTACAGTTGGAGACTTCGCTTTTAACATGTAAAAATGCTTTTGGATAGTTTTCTTTTGTCTTAAACGTCTGGCAAAAGTCTCTCTAGCCAACCTGCGATACTTGCCTTGGATGTGGCATGGAGCAGCTGGCTCAATACTGTGAAACTGGAGGCGCTGTAGATAGCATGCGAGACATTTTATTGTAAATTGTTTATTTCTGTATAGATCAAAGGGTGAATGTACAAATGACAAAAACAGTTTCTCTGATGCATTTGTGAGTGCCATATGTTGCTCAACCATGGCTGTAGAGTTGACCCGATCCCCAAACAAGCGGTGGCGTTGGCTTTGGCAGTTTTGTTGACGAGTTGCTTTGATACACAGTGTGGGTGGGGTTGAAGAGAAGACTCCATTGATATAAGAAGCTGAGATGCCGCCTCAGTTGTTCTATGAAGACCATATGCAACTCTGAGGCTGAGGTAATAAAGTGAAGTTAATCACAGTTGAATGGTTAACATACAAAGGACTATTCAATCATATCCGCTTTAGCCGACGTCTGCGTAGCGGTTATTTTGGCGATGTTTGAGGTGGAACTGTGTTAGAGCTGTCAAATTCACAAGCGGCTCCTGGCATTACACCTAAAGCGGACATTGCAATTGGCTGCATGGAGTCGCATTAAGAGAAATCCCATGCAGCCTTGTTTACAAATTCTAACACTGGAATGTGAGATGTAATCTACACCTCGATTAGGCTGATAGAAATCCTCATTTTGTTTTCTGAATAGTGTAGGCTCTCGTTCTGAACTTCTAACGCGAGTTGGATGGGTGTGGCATTGTGACAATGATCAAGAGCAGCTGCTCACCGATTTGACAGCTCCAAAGTAGTTACACCTCCTACACCGTGACGGCTATTGCCGGTTAAATCTAATTGAATTTAGGGCAAAATGTAGATTCTCCGCTAAGCACCGTTCCAAACCATACATGACAGCGCTGCGCTGTTATGACATTATCCTAGTCTCCTGACAACCAACGCTTATACTTACTGGGCACTACATCTCCCCGTCCTATTTTGCCCTGTCATTGTTTCAGTAGCTCATCATTCGCTCTCCAAACTGAGCATTGTGTTTTCCCCAATCCCAGACTCAACGATGTAGGCCTGTTCTCTAATTGGCAATGGGATGTAAACTATCTTTAAGGGTTGTAACCAAGTTGGTGAGTGGATTACTTATATCAATAGAAATGCTACAGGAATCCCCTCCTCACCTCTCACAAAGGCCTAGGACTTTAAACCCAGATTTATTGCTTTTTAAATTACCTGCATCGGAAGGTGTGGGGGCAAAGTCTTGGAACTTTCTAGTGAAAACCAGATCCTTTCCAATACCACCTGTCAGCCCCACAGAGCAGAATACATCTAGGCCTATATTTGAATTCTGTGGTCAGCCTCCCTTAAGGTCCACCATTTTCTTTCAATGATAATGATCTAACAATCTAATTAGAGCTGGAGTTGAAAATCTGTGTGACGGACAAAGTGAAGGGGTTCTAATGAAAATTGGTACGAGGGAGGGCAAGCACTGTCAAAAAAGAATGTGTGGATATCCATATATAACAGCCGATGAATGGCCACTTGTTCTTTAACCTGTCGATTTTCATGTGTTCCTGACAAGTGTTGTACATACTAGCTAAAGCAGCACAAGTCTTATAGCCAGAGGCTCTCCGATAAACCTTAGGCTTTAGTCAGTGTATTTTTCCCCTTTCCATATCACAATTCTGTTAACTCCTTTTGTTAATGCAATGCGCAATGAAAGTTGAAGTGGAGGGGGATTTATACATGCATTTCTCTTCCTAAGGGATGATTTTACACGGCACTGCTGTCAAAAAGCATGACAAGCACAGTGGAAGCATCTAGAGGATGAATGAAATGAGGAAGAATGCATTCTAAAGCAGCCTCTGCTCCAATAGACCTCGGTCCTTCAGCGCGGAGTTGTTAAACTTGGCTATGATATCGATAATCACATGACCACTGGGAAATGATTAACACCACCTAGTGCCCAGGCAGTATTCTGCAACAACCCATGTGAAACAACTTTGCCTCAATGTCCAGTTGAGCATTCGTGTCATAGCATTGCCATAGTGTTTACTCTAACAGCTTGATCCTTTTTCTATTGGACCGTCCAGCAGTTGCGGTGATACTCCCCTGCTATGTACAAATGTATTAGTCAAAATCGAAATCCGATGTGATTCAGTGAAAAAAAGCTATTTGGACTACCTAAAATTTGTGCATTTCCCTCAACACAAGCCCTTGACCTCAGCCTTTAATTTCCCTACATATTTGTAGTGATTGTTTTCTCCAAGGTGTACTTCCTTGGAATTTTACTTCTCATCATTTGGGAATGTGGAATAAACCAGTGGACTGAAGATTGTAATATAAATGTGCCAACAAATAAAACACCAGTATTTCAGATCTGGATTCGATTTGCCTTTTAATGAACCTTGACGTGTCTCGCTGCTTATTCTGCTTTTAATACATATATGTTGTTGTAAACACCTGACTGAAAGACTGCACTTTTGAATAACCTCTGCCAAGCTTTAGCTAGTATAATTAGTGTAGTGTGTGAATTAACACTCCCCAGTCCACACAAACATTGTAAATATAGTGTAAAAATACTACATGAATCCAGAATGGCCAGTATCTAAAGTACTGACAAAGAAAAAGGACAAAGCTGCGTTTTATGTATTTATTGTAAAGAAATTGATAGAAATTTACTCCTGAGGAGGCTGCTGTCCTCTGCCTCGTCCAAATCCACCCCTCTGAAAACAAGAGAGGAAAGGGTCAGCTTCCAGGTCACAGGACAACAGAGGAAAGGGTCAGCTTCCAGGTCACAGGACAACAGTTGGTCATGAAAACAATCATACGGTTATGTTTCCAATTCATGTCCCGAGTTTGTCTACCCGAATAACTTTACTCAATGCGTTACAACAGTGCTTCTGGCTACACAATGTATGCAGTTTTTCAAACCAGCTGATCAATTACAATTGCTCATGGTAATGTCATATAGTTGAGTCAATTTAAATGCAAAACAAAATAAGGCTTTGAATTGCCTTTACCCCTCTTTCATGATATCAAATTGGTAGTTAGTCTTGTCCCATCGCTACAACTCCCCTATGGACTCGGGAGAGGGCCATGCGTCCTCCGAAACACGACACTGCCAAGCCGCACTGCTTCTTGACACACTGCTCGCTTAACCCGGAAGCCAGCCGCACCAATGTGTCGGAGGAAACACCGTCCAGCTGGGGACCTAGGTCAGCTTGCAGGCGCACGGCCCGCCACAAGGAGTCGCTAGAACGCGATGGGACAAGGAAATCCCGGCCGGCCAAACCCTCCCCTAACCCGAACGCCGCTGGGTCAATTGTGCGCTGTCGCATGGTCTCCCGGTCACGGCCGGCTGTGACACAGCCTGGGATCGAACCCGGGTCTGTAGTGACGCCTCAAGCACTGCAATGCTGTGCCACTCGGGAGGCCTGAATTGCCTATTCTAGTAACATATAGATGTATATAACCTTTCAACAGTCGGCTATCCAATAAACTCAAAATTATTTTGCATTATTTAGACTTCGTGTAACCAGCATATTGAGTGTGTCCCCAGGAACATAGTTGAGAACACCTGTGGTGTAATCATTAGTCCAAACAGTTAAAACAAGAGTTTCTATTGGACAAATTCAGGTATGTCCCGTTTCGTTTGCTTCCGTTTAAGAAACGCCCTTGCTTCAGGCTACAGTACCATTAGGCAATACAGTACTTACGAATTGGAACTCTGTGGCTGAACCAGCACCTGCCTCTGCTTTCTTGTCTCCACCAGCTGTAAAGAAAAGAACAGCTTGTAAGCTAAACATTCTTTCCCCAATTTTTTTTGTTTTTGTTATAGGTTGTTTACAATAAAACGTCACAATAGGTTTGATTTGGCTGCTGGGGGGCAAGTAGACCCACAGATCCGCTAAAACCATTTACAACTACATGCCGTTTAAGGGATTGTTAAAGACATTTTAACTTTTTCGTTTTAATACCGTCACCTATTGAGCATATAATTACACATTTCTGATTATTCCATGCAAAACATTTGCGCACATTTAGTCTCAGAGTTATACAGCAAGTAACTGCATGCTTTTCATGATCAGTAAACACCAATGACCATGTAATTTCCTGTAGCTTGTAAGCTAAACATTTTCACCCATTCAACATCACCCTTCATACTAGTTACACAAAGGCTGAGGAGACAAGTCATTACCAAGCACAAATGTGATCAACTACTGGAAACCCAGGCAGGGTTACCATCAAGTGTATTTGGAGCTACAAAGCACACTAGTCAGCAGATGATGAAATGGCCAGTTGGCTGAAAGAGGGATCCTGTAACACTATACATACGTGGTGCAGCAGATCTCCTGTAATTGTCTCTATCAGCCCCATCACGGTTGAAGCGGGCGGGCCGCTCTCCCCTCTCTCCCTCCATACCTGGAAAATAAAAAGGCAATGCTCAGCTGGTTGGGAGGTTAAAGACGCTCAAAAACACAGGAAGGATCATCAAGTTTAGGTCCAGCACCTATGGCTTTACAGCACTAGATCCAATATTCCTCACTGTCCGGTCCTTGAGGACCACAGTGTATACGGACCTGTTCAAGCCCAGCTCTAACACAACTGATTGAACTAATCAGTCTAAATTAAAAAGACCACAATTAGTTGAATCAGTTGTTAGTACAGGGCTGGTACTAAAGCCAGCAAACTGCAGACCCCCAGGACTGGAATCCTCCAGCCCAGTTTGTAGAAGTAGGGGCCTTACTAGGAGCAGTAATACCAGATTCACATACTGTGCTGGCTTGGATACTTTCTTTTCATACTGTCCTGTTCAGCACAATTCCAGCAACTACAGTGGATGTGTAGTACACGGCTCAGCAGTGTGCAAATGGCAGGCCTATAAGTGGACGTACCCTTGGGCCTGGGCCTTGCAGTATCAGGACGCATCTGGCGCCGCAGAGTGGCGGGAACAATCTCAGGTGGAAGGTGCAGGAAGTCTCTCAGGTACTGGATACCTTCATTGGTGAGGTACCAGTAAAAATGGCGCCAGGCAAATTGCTCCTTAACATACCCAAGTGACTTCAAGGACTGAAAGACAAACATGCAAAAACATGCATTTTCCAGGCAGAGATACGACAAAGTCCAAAAATCCAACATCTCAGACATTGCATGCTAGGGAACTTCTTTATGTAGTCCACATCGGATATGCATAATCTCTTCACTGTCATACCTGTGGACATCATGCTACTTGACACAAGAACTGCACCCCAGTCTCAAAGGATAAAACGAACAAAAACCCAAATTAGAAGCAATATCGCCTAAAGTTCGATCTCACCAGCATTGCTTTCATCACATGAAGGTTGGGCACGTTCTTGTCGGCAAGCTCGGGGTGCTTGGGCAGATGCACATCTTTCTTTGCCACCATGACGCCCTCTTTGAAGAGGAGCTCATAGATGGCAATTCGGTTCTTCTTGGGCATCAGCATCTGTTCACACAAACGACAATGAGACAAGCGTTTGCGTACGTGCAATATAACAGGGTTGTCCGCCTACCCACAAATACTGGCTGCTTTATATTCGCCTGCATGGTGGTCACAGTTTGACCAAGATTGGGAGCCCCAGTCGGTAGTTAACGTTAGCTAACCAGCTTCTTCGGACAACTATGGTATGGGCTCATTTCCCAGATGAGGTGGGTAACAGAAACCATTTATATATTTATTTTTTTCATCAGGCTTATACAGTCTAATGATAACACTGCACTTAAACGAGTAACTGTTGCATCCGGCAAAGTGGTAGCTAGTTAGCGTTGACCAAAATGCAGTCATGTTACCTAGACTACCCTGTGTATATCAGCCTACATCTCGAGTAATACAAGGCTTTTTGGGGAAATGTGTGGATGTTTATAACAACGAGATACACATATATGTAAACTGAGAGTAACAGCTTCATACAATGTAAGATGTTGGAGATTTATTCAGATAATTTTTTTCCGGTATTTTCTTACCTTACAACTTGCCAGGGGACCGGAGCCGGAAAGAAAGACAGAACGTGTACAAGAGCGTTTATGCGCAGGCGTTGGAACTAGCAGCTTTATCGCCATCTACTGAGCTGGCGGGAAAAGTGTAGTAGACTAAATTGAATTACCGGTATGGGGAAATTATTGTCATTGTCATTTTTGCTACTTACTATTATTAGTATTTGGGTAAATTAGCCATGCACTTTTGTTAATAACATAGTCTAATTAATGAACCCATTTCTGCAGCTCACTGTCTGAGTTCACACCACTTCAATCTGAACCTGTTCCACTCATCCTTGCAAGCTTTTTTTGAAATACGAGTTTATTGATTTTTTTTTTTACATTAGGCCTACAGGAAGCTTCAGATAAATGTTCTGGTCTTGTCGGTGGGGATTCAGACAGCGCTATTTCCACTGGGGTGATAATTTCAAGACCAACATCAGTCTTCCATCGGACCATCCAGGGCCGGCTCCAGGCATAAGCGGCCGCTAGGGTATTATTATTATTATTTACATTTAGGAACTCAGTCGGGTCTCAACTTACTGTTGAGAGTTAGAATAGTAGAATACACAAGGTGCAAGTTCAAAATTTGGTTGCGCATCAGCAATTTTTCTGTTATGTCAGTCAGTGAAGGTGACTTAATTAACCATTTCAGCTAACAATTTTCAGATTGGTTAATTAGTCTAGCCAGCTATCTAAACTTGTAGTAATCATGTCCGAATACCAACCGGGAACTCAGGCATGTGCCCAGGGGCCCTGACCTCAAGGGGGCATTCATTGATTTGGTTAGTCACTCTCACTAAGATATCATTAACATGGCATAAGTCATGACAAAATGTGTAGAATTGCAGGAAAGTAGCTTAATCTTGCTTAGGGCCCCCAAAAGGCTAGAGCCGGCCCTGGGACCATCCCCCATCTGTCGCCTCTTTGCCCCCGGCGCTTTAAGTGCACCACCACACAAGGCAAGCCTTTGCTGTCAGTTGACGGAGAAGGGTCTGTCGACCTTTCTAGCGGAAAGGTAATGGAAATATTTTTATATTTAGGCCAACAGAGGAGTAGGACACATCGCATTGCGTTCTCTGGTATGTCAGGCATTTATATGCGCATTCACAATTTGTAGTTGGGTTGAGTGGAAACTAGAAAGAGCAAGAAGAATAGGCTAAGAGCTGCATCGTTTGACTGGTAGGCTACGCAACCCATTTAATGCTGCTACCAGTGGCAGCAAGATTTTTCCACCCTGCAGTTTTTTTGTTGCTTTATTCTTTAGTAGCCTACATTGTACAATATATAGCTGCTATAGCCTATTGACTATCAAATAACGCCATTATACCACAGCTATAGCATGCTTTGCATAATAACTATTTATATTATTAATTTGTTTTCATTAATATGTAGGCTATTTGGAATGAGGATAATAGGTTGGCTTGGGGTTAAACGTCCCCTGCCTGTAATCCTCACAGAAACCACTTTATTTCACGCAACAAAAAAATCTACACTTTCCCTGGCTGCCACTATTCTTGCTCAACTAAAAATGTCATCTGTCTCATCTCAACTTTTTAAGTCACTCCAACAAAACAATGTTCAGGTACATTGATCTAATATTTTGTCATTAAGAAAACGTTTTAAGCCTATATATAATCTAATAAAGTTAGATCTATAAACTTTTTTATATATACCAGTAGGGGAGCCTAAAGAAAAATAATCCACTTAGCTAGAGAGAACAATTGTCATCAGTTTTCAATAATATAGTAACATTTAAAGTGAGTATGTTTGGGGGAAAATGCCCCCTCTACAGTGGGGCAAAATGCCCCCAGGACAATCCAATGCAAGTCAATGGTACCCATATTAGCATTTTCAAATCATGTCCAAATCATCTATCTATAAGTAACTTCATTGAACAAATCATCTATAAGTAACTTCATTGAAATCAATTTTGAGATACTTTAGAATGATTTCCACAGGAAGCTTGAAAATTAAGAGGGGACCTTACATAATTTTGTTTAATATTTCATTTATTTCATTAAAATGAGATACCTGTACTTTAGCTTAATAGTCAATTACTAAAATATGAAAAAATAAAACCAAATCTCAGATAAACTATCAATACATCAAGTACAGTATTCATATCAATACCATCCACTATCCAGGCTTTTAAACATAATGTATTAGAGGAACATGTCCTTCCTTGAGTAAGCTTCCTTGAGAGAGATGGGATAATCACCAATAGGAGCAGAATTGTTTGAACCAACTAAGCTAAAGGGCCCTACCAGTGGTTCAGATACAGACCTCTCTACAGGTCCTGACACCTGATGGTTCTGGACTGCCTTTACACAGGCAACCCAGTTCTGATCTTCTTCCACTGATTGGTCTTTTGACCAATCAGATCAGCTATTTTGCCAATAATTGGGCAAAATATCTGAATTGGGCTGCCTGTGTAAACGCAGAATGTCTTAATGTGAGTCAAGTCTGCTCAGGTTCTGTGATGGCGGGTCAGCTGAGAGGATACTGTAAGGTTCTGTGATGGAGGGTCAGCTGAGAGGATACTGTAAGGTTCTGTGATGGCGGGTCAGCTGAGAGGATACTGTAAGGTTCTGTGATGGCGGGTCAGCTGAGAGGATGCTGTAAGGTTCTGTGATGGAGGGTCAGCTGAGAGGATGCTGTAAGGTTCTGTGATGGCGGGTCAGCTGAGAGGATGCTGTAAGGTTCTGTGATGGAGGGTCAGCTGAGAGGATGCTGTAAGGTTCTGTGATGGCGGGTCAGCTGAGAGGATGCTGTAAGGTTCTGTGATGGCGGGTCAGCTGAGAGGATGCTGTAACCAGTACAGTGAGACATGGTCCAAAAGCTAAAGGGTAGCTGCTACCTCATAATAACATTAAATACATGACATATGTTTGTTGCTGCCTTTCAGGCAGCTGAGTGTTCGTCTTCATGGACAAATTTAATTTGGGGGACTTGCCCCAAATAAACAATTCTGTGTGATTTATTGCCTGGGACCAGCTGGTGGTGTTAACTCTGTGGAGTTTCTCAGTGAGGCTGTCTGACCTCCAGCTGCAGAGAGAGAGAGAGAAAGAGAGAGCTGTTCAACAGAGCATTGTCCAGGGTCCTGAACTCACAGCTCAACACCACCATCACCATGCTGAATGACACTGGCCTGGCTAAACCTCAGAGCACATTGCTGGTCCACACCTGGCCATAGAAGGAAGTGAGCACAATAACATGCAGGTTGATTTCATTGCTGTCTGTCCTGGCGAAGACCCATTTCAAGCCAAAATATTTAAATGAAGAAAAGCACTAGGGAGTATAGGCATATCAATATGCAGGTCCATTGTGTTTCAGCCGAACCCCGCACCTGGAACTTTTCTTTGGGTCACCACATAGGTTGGCCTAGGTGATGCTAGGCCGACCCAGCCATGCCAACGTTTACCTCAAGAACAAGAGGTGTGTCTTCAACACTGTTTAAGAGTTGGCTCTGTTTAAGTGTCTGCGTGTTGTTTGGTCATCAGAAAAACAGTCCGGTAAACTGGTAAGAGGAATGTGACAGCAAGAGGATCAATTAGGAGTGATGTGAGTCATTCCTCTCAGACATTCTCATTCTCTCGTCATGCTCTGTGTTTGCGTTCTGAGCATAAATGAGCTGCATGAAAGCCATCTGCTGTTTGAGATTAATAAACCAACACATTAATCTATGCTTTTATCAAAATCTATTATGCTGCCTGCCACAATGGGTCCACATAAGGGTTTTATTCTGAAGTGAAGGGCACGATGAAACTAGAAGAGCAGAGGGTCATACAGACTACAGTGGGTGTGTGTGTGTGTTTGCCTACGTGCATGCATGCTTCAGTGTGTTTGCATGTGTGTCTGTGTGTGTGCATGCTTCTGTGTGTTCGCGTCACTTGTGTATGTGTGTGTGTGTCTGTGCGTGTGTGTGTGTGTGTGCCCCTGTCTGTGTTAGTGTGTAATTTGATTAATTAATGTGATGAATATGAATGGGGCCCAGGACACACGTCTGATTTATACACCCCAATTCAGCCGACTCCACTGACAGAGGAATGACAGATGAGGCACCATTACTAATGTAATTAATTAGCCCAGATCATAAGTTGTTTTTCTTCTCCAAATGAATGTGAATCTGCCAGTGTAGGGGCTGTAGGCTTTTCCCCATGGATACATCCATTCATTGTTTGCCTCAGTCATTTGTACCTACAAGCCTCCTTGTCACATCTGCTCTCCACAATCTTGATCCTATGCTAAATGACCCTGCATTTAATTTAGCTAAATCCCTGGTTTTACCCATTCCCCGGTTGTATAGCCTGAAGACGCATTATTTGGAATAGTAAGGTTCAGCAATGCTGTATGCAGATCTTCCAGATTTGTATTAGGCCTAGTTGTTGTCAACACCAGAGGAAATAGATTATTTGAATCCATATTAAGTATATTTGGGTGGCAAAGAAAGGAATATGCTACATTCAGTATTATATGTGTGTATTTAATCTATTTCTACATTATTAACCAAATACAGCTCAATAATAGGCTATAAATAAGAACATTTTCTGTGATATCCATTGCCTTTTTAGGCCTCTTTTTAGGCCTTTATACCCATAAAACCTAGCGGTCAAACAGGGAAATGGTTCCAATCGTTTTTCCACCATTCATTTTTCCCATAGGAGATTTTAGAAACACTTAAAATAAAGGTTGTGTTTCGTGTAGGCTTACCCTGGCGTGACGTTTTGATAACCATGGAAATCTTTCTTGGACAAGGTGACTTTTATCAATATATTCCAACTCTATTTATGCTCAGATTCAAAAATGCTAATTAGCATCAAAGGAGGCGTCATGCAAGACTACAAATCCCTGCAAGCTCCTGCACGTCATCTCTAGCTAACAGGTATTGTGTCAATTTAAAACTTGCACAAGACAGTTCATAGAATTGTCCATTTAAAGAAATGTAGCCAATTTATTCAGTAGTACATTTAGCTAACATTAGATAGTTAATCTAGAGATTCTTACCTTTGCCTCGATTCGGCAGTCTCATCCAGATCATCATGGCATTTGTAGTTCTTTATGAAAGTCACATAAGCAGCCAATTAGTATTTCATTTTTGGGGGGTAAATACAGGCGAATATATTGATAAAAGTCACCTTGTCCTAGAGAGATTTACACAGTTATCAAAACGCCACACCAGGGTAAGTCTACATGGAACACAGACCTTATTTTAAGTGTTTCTAAAAAAAACTCTATGGGAAAAAGGAATTTTGGAATAACTATTGGAACCATTTCCCTGTTTGACTGTTAGGTTTTATGGGTATTATGACTCACACTGTGGTACTCTATTGGCTTTGATGAAATCGACCAGTAGCTATCATGTCTTACTTCCTTCTCTTTTTGCAACATACTGCATTATGCTACCATGCCCCAACTTCCCACACCATCTCCTCTCTGAGTACTGAAACACAAGGGGATTTTACCCCTCAACCTAACACATTCTTTCAGTGAAGTTAATGATCTGGATGGTGGTGGAGGCTGAGTGCAAAGCTTAGGATTCAGCTGTTTGGTAATTGGAGATCGTGATAGGATACTCACAAGGGACGACTGGAGTGGACAGAGAGAGAGGCTGGTTGGGGTGTCCGTAAAGGCCCAGGTTCAGTATTTCCCAACGACTGTGTTATGCTGACGTTACATCACTGCCCAGTCCGCTGCCTGCATCGCAGAAAGTGACTGGCGACTCACTTCCTTCATAGAAGGGCACATGTTTTTTTATGAGGCACCTAAAATAAGTACTTCGAAGTTGTAATTTAGGTTGTTCCAAGTAAAGCACATCATGTGCTTTGATGATTTCGGTTGAGTCATTCTCATTCTTTGTTCAGTTCTCCTCTATACAGCAGAAAGACCTTTGGAAAATGTCCAGTAAACATAGGTCAGTCTCATCTGACAGTACAGCCGAAACCTCATCTCTTTCTCTTGGAGGGGGCAGACAGGCTGTTGGCAGACTGAGAATAGGCATTGATACCTCCTGGCTATCTTCTCTGCTCTTATCGCCGGTCTGAAGGACAGACAGACAGAGATGGAGAGAGACATTAGAAGAGAGGAGATCAGCTTGATATTGAGGAAGTGAGGGATGATAGGAGATATATGAATCTCTGAGACGGAGACGTCAGTTGTGTGTGTCTGTCTGTCATTTTGTTTTATTATGAAATCCGTAATCCTACTCCTGATGTAATAACTGTCTCTCTCTTGTCTCCTTATGTGTGCTTCTTTAGGGGTGGGGATTCTAAGGAACACAGTCCCAACCTGCATGGGGTTATATGGAAACCTGATTGACCCAGTTGAGAAGGTAAGGGTTTTCACTGATTTCTGATGAGGCGCACATTTCAACATAGGCCTTCAACACTACGAGCAGAAACTCCCTGTTTTCTACTGGTTGAGTGTACTTCCTATATATAGACGCAGACTTTGTACCTTTAAAATGCATTCACTGATCAAACACAATTGGATAGGGGCAAAGGAAGGGGAGGAGTGTATCATATCATTAGTATCTGGTTGAGAGATGGCGAGGGTGGCAGGGAAGGGACTCACCACAGGCCCAGACCAGGCAGGCCCAGGTACCTAGCCCAACCACCATGCTGGGCGGTAATTGAGCAATTGGCCTGTAGAGCCTATGAGAGACGAGCAGATGGTGAATTCCTCTGCAGCGTATGACATGGCAGAAATTGATACTGTATGTGTCCCAACTTTAGCTTTAAATGGCTTGGTTGGTTAGAAACACATTTGGAAATCCTCTGATTAAGGCAATCATTTCTTCCGTTATGAGTCTGTCATGATTTCCACCTTTCCAACAGTGAACACACATGCACCTCATAAATGTAACCACTGCTCCCACACAGAATAGCTTGTTAGGAGAAGGACTTGGCTCTGTCTATCCATCCGCCAGTACTGTCTGAGACCTAGGCTGTGTTCCAAATGGCACCCTATTCCCTATATAGTGCACTACTTTTGACCAGAGCCCTATGGGTATAGGGTGCCTTTTGGGATTCAGACATAGTGGAACCCCTGTGGGTGTTGACTGCAGGTTTTAACTGTTGATCTATAGCTCTGATTTACAGTGTCCACTCAGTGGAGAGTTGTAGAGCCATGGGAGAGGGCAGGGAGGACCGGTGGAGGGAGGAAATGGCTTTATGTTGGCACAGCGACTGGGTTTATTGCAGTTGGGTGCAGCACTTGTTTGATTGCTCCAAGGCACCATTTAATCCTCTGACCCCATGTTAGCACGTCCAGCTGGCAGACAGACCCTCTAGTCCAGGGGTCAGCAATAGGCAGGCCACGGGCCAAAACCGCCCCGTGACTGATATTTTTTGGCCCCCAAAGTTTTTTGTAAAGCATGTAATTTTGTTTGGTTAAAAAAGACTGTAAAATCACCAGGAATTCAGCTAAAAATTAGTTTAATTTAGGAAATCTGTTCTCAATTATTCCCACTAATAAAAACACTGACATATGTTATCGTCTCAATGTAATCAAGGTATGACACTATTGTTATTTTAAATATTTGTACGCTTTTTGGGCTTAGCTGTGGTCAATTTGCAATGTACATATTATTATAAATATGTTCCGTCCCCCCGACCATCCACTCAGACAAAGATCTAGTTGCCTACCCCTGCTCTAGTCTCACTGTGAGGGTTTGACACTTTTACAAGGTTATTATATGTTATTATATCCACCATGGCATTATTATATCCACCATGGCGTTATTATATCCACCATGGCATTATTATATCCACCATGGCGTTATTATATCCACCATGGCGTTATTATATCCACCATGGTGTTATTATATCCACCATGGCGTTATTATATCCACCATGGCGTTATTATATCCACCATGGCGTTATTATATCCACCATGGTGTTATTATATCCACCATGGTGTTATTATATCCACCATGGTGTTATTATATCCACCATGGGCTGCATCTCAGTGCTTGAGGCGTCATTCCAGGCTGTATCACAACCGGCCGTGATTGGGAGTCCCATAGGGCGGTGCACAATTGGCCCAGCGTCGTCCGGGTTTGGCCGGTGTAGGCCGTCATTGTAAATAATAATTTGTTCTTAACTGACATGCCTAGTTAAATAAAGGTAAAATAAATAAATGGTGTTATTATATCCACAATGGGTACAGTTCCTGCAGGAGGTCATCAGAGCATCAGAGGGAAACAGAAGCCATTAAGATAATTATTTTACACCATGCACCTCACCATGGTCAGAAATGACAGTCTGGATACATGCGAGCTGATGGGGAGGCATGTCTAGAGAATAAAGACAACAGGAAAGACACTAAAAGCCTCAGGCTCCTCAGTCTCTACACACACATCAGGATTCTGTCCTAAATCATATTTTTTCTATTTCCTTCCTTCCTGCCCCTTATTTCCTTCTTCTCTCGCTCTCCAAACTTCATCTCTCCCTCCTGGCCCTCTCTCTCCTGACTTCCTCTCTCTCTAACTTTCTTCGCTCTCTTGCCCCCATCTCTCTCCTGGCCCCCTATCTCTTGCCCCCCTCTCTCTCCTGGCCCCCTATCTCTTGCCCCCATCTCTCTCCTGGCCCCCTATCTCTTGCCCCCCTCTCTCTCCTGGCCCCCTATCTCTTGCCCCCCTCTCTCTCCTGGCCCCCTATCTCTTGCCCCCCTCTCTCTCCTGGCCCCCTATCTCCTGCCCCCCCTCTCTCTCCTGGCCCCCTATCTCTTGCCCCCCTCTCTCTCCTGGCCCCCTATCTCTTGCCCCCCTCTCTCTCCTGGCCCCCTATCTCTTGCCCCCCTCTCCTCTCCTGGCCCCCTATCTCATGCCCCCCATCTCTCCTCCTGGCCCCCTATCTCATGCCCCCCCTCTCTCTCCTGGCCCCCCTATATCTTGCCCCCCCTCTCTCTCCTGGCCCCTATCTCTTGCCCCCATCTCTCTCCTGGCCCCCTATCTCTTGCCCCCATCTCTCTCCTGGCCACCCTATCTCTTTCCCCCATCTCTCTCCTGGTTCCCCCCTATCTCCTGCCCTCCTCGCTCTCTGACCTTCCTTGACTCCTTTCTCTCCTGCCCCTCTCTCCCCCCTGCCTCCCTCTTCCCCTCCTGCCTGCCTCCCTCTCGCCCTCCTGCCTCCCTCTCTCTCTCCTGCCTCCCTCTCTCTCTCCTGGCCTCCCTCTCACTCCTGCCTCCCTCTCGCCTCCCTCTTTCTCTCCTGCCTCCCTCTCTCCCTCCCTCCTGCCTCCCTCTCTCTCTCCTGTCCATTTTCTCTCCTGTCCTTTTCCTCTCCATGACAACCGTTCTCCTTGAGACTTCCTACAAATGTGTCAGACGGACAGGGAGGGAGCTGCCTCACTGGCAGCTGGCTAATTATTGATGTCCTTACCTGTCTTTAGCAGGATGTGGCAAAGTTCAGTCTCTCGCTCTGTGTGTGTGTGTCTGTGGCGGTGGTGATGGTTAGACAACAGGGTGTGCCATCTCCTTCAGGTGCGTAGCTGTGCTAGTCAAATCAAATCAACTTTTATTTGTCACATGCACGTGTTTAGCAGATGTTATAGCGGGTGTAGCGAAATGCTTGTGCTGCTAGCTCTGACAGTGCAGTAATCTCTAACAATTTCACAACATATACCCAATACTCACAAAAAAGTAAGGAATAGGATTTAAGAATATATACATATATGGACAAGCAATGACAGAGCGGCATGGACTAAGATACAGAAGAATATTATAGAATAGAATGCAGTATATACATATGAGATGAGTAGTGCAAGATATGTGAACATTATTAAAGTGACTAGTGTTCCATTTCTTAAAGTGGCCAGTGATTTCAATAGGCAGCAGCAGCCTCTAATGTGCTAGTGATGGCTATTTAACAGTCTGATGGCCTTGAGATAGAAGCTGTTTTTCATTCTCTCGGTCCCAGCTTTGATGCACCTGTACTGACCTCGCCTTCTGGATGATTGCGGGGTGAACAGGCAGTGGCTCGGGTGGTTGATGTCCTTGATGATCTTTTTGGCCTTCCTGTGACATCGGGTGCTGTATGTGTCTTGGAGGGCGGGTAGTTTGCCCCCGGTAATGTGTTCGGCAGACCGCACCACCCTCTGGAGAGCCCTGCGGTTGTGGGCGGTGCAGTTGACGTACCAGGCGGTGATACAGCCCGACAGGATGCTCTCTAGCACTGTCCGTCTCGAGTCTGTCTCAAGGGTGGACACAGATTGCTCCGAGTGACCAGGTGCAGTATTGTTGTTATGTTATTCTAGAAGTAACAATACATACTGTCAGAAATATTCACAGACTTGTACGACATGGCACCATGTAGACTGTTAGCAAAATCAAGGTTCTTTAGAGAACTCCTGTATATAGGATCTGTTGATAATGTGAACCATAATGTGAGCCCTTGGATAACAAGTTGAGTAACCAATCCATCTGACCAAAAATATATTTTTTTTTCTCTAAAAGGGTACATTTATTTAACTTCAGCTGTTCTGTAGAAAACCTCCTGAATGGGTGGGTGGTAGAGGGTGTTGTTCTCTGATACCTTGGATACATGTGTTTTGCTAAGCAAATAGATGTTGTAATTTATGTAAATGTTATGTCACCACGATAGGGAAGTGTGTATGGGTATTTTATGGATTTACTGCACTTTGTTATGCTGTTGGCTTTTCTCTTATGTCCTTATTGTCTCATTGAGCCCCTCTGCCCTTTCGTGACACCGGGGGCTGGACCCTCTCTCTCTCTCTCTCTCTCTCGCTACCTCAGTGCGATGATCATATACTCCTCTCTCTCTAGTACTCTCTCTCTCTCTCCCCTCTATTCTCTTCTCCTCTCTCATCTCATTTTCCGTTCTTCCTCCCAAACTTTGTTCGTATTCCGCACTCTCGGGGTCGTCAAGCTCTGTTTGCCTCTATCTCTCGTCTCGGTTATCAAAGTCATTACCTTCTTGACTCATGTCTGACTCTCTCCGTCTTCTCTCTTCTTGAGGGGGCATTTTTTTTTTCGGTTTTGAAAAAAATTTCCCTTTAACCCCAAAACCCCTTCTTTTTTTTTTCCTTCCCAAATTTTAAAAACCCAGGGGAAAAATTCTTCAAAACCCCCTTTTTTTGCTCTTCCTTTCATTTTTGCAAAAAAAAGATGTGTTTTGTAAATTTTGTCCCACTAGGGAATTTTTATTTGGTTTTCTGCCTTTTTAGGGTTTTGGGGTTTTCCGGTCTTAAAAGGAAAATCGCCCTTTGTGAACCCCAACCCCTTTTAAAATTTCCCCCCCTTTTGGGGTTTCCTTCGGAAATTTGGTGGACCTCGTCTTTTCCCCAAACCCCTTCTAAAATTTTCTTCCATTTCTTTTTCCCTCTATTTTTTTCCCGTGTTGCTTCCGGCCAATCTTTTTTTTTGGGGGGGTTTTTGGGCCCAAAAGCCTTTCCCCCCCGAGGAGGAATCGTAGGGGCTCTGTTTTGTTCCCCCGTTGTAATGTGCAGTCCCCTTTAGAGGCTCATGCTTTGTTTTTCATTTTAATTTTTTATAAATTGGAAAATTGATTGTGTGGCCAAGACTGGGCCCCGCAGCCCCCTTCAGCCTTTTTTGCTGGGGATGAAGTGGGGGGGGCAAGCATCAGAAGTTTCCCAGGGAGGGAGGGGTTGGGGGATCCTGTCATTTTTGGGAGAGACCCGAGCGAGACAGGCATTTTAATGGCCATTTTTTTGTGTGGGAAAGGTTGGTCCCGGTTAGTTAGTGTCTTATCTGTTTCTGAGGGCAGGCTGGGCTTGGTATTTGGGTACAGAGAGAGGGCGAGGCTGCGTGTGTCACAAGGTGGGGTCAGAGGTAAGATGAGGTATAGATGAAGTGGTTGGACATTGATCTAGGTTTATAGAGTGGGTGGAATATGCAACAGGAGTTTTGTTGTCTTCTTGGATGTCTCTGCAGTCCCTACTGTCTCTACAGCCCTCTGAATGGAAGACGTTGCATAGAAAGGTGAGTGGAACAATGGAACTAAAGCTGGTAAAGACTACACTCTTAGAAACAAAACGTACTATCTAGAACCTAAAAGGGTTTTTCGTGTGAAAGGTTGCTGTGTGAAGGGTTCTACCTGGATTGGAACCAAAAATATTCACCTATCGGGGACAGCCGAAGAACAGTTTTGGAACCCTTTTTTTCAGAAAATGTAGACTAACTCATATACTCAGCTGGCTCACAGTGACGGACTATACCATTCTATTGGTAGACTCACAGTGACTGACTATACCATTCTATTGGTAAACTCACAGTGACGGACTATACCATTCTATTGGTAGACTCACAGTGACGGACTATACCATTCTATTGGTAGACTCACAGTGACTGACTATACCATTCTATGGTAGACTCACAGTGGACTGACTATACCATTCTATTGTAGTAGACTCACAGTGACGGACTATACCATTCTATTGGTAGACTCACAGTGACGGACTTTACCATTCATATGGTAGACTCACAGTGACGGACTATACCATTTCTATTGGTAGACTCACAGTGACGGACTATACATTCTATTGGTAGGACTCACAGTGACTGACTTTACCATTCTATTGGTAGGCTCACAGTGACTGACTACCATTCTATTGGTAGACTCACAGCGACTGACTTTACCATTCTATTGGTAGACTCACAGTGACTGACTATACCATTCTATTGATAAACTCACAGTGACTGACTATACCATTCTATTGGTAGACTCACAGTGACTGACTATACCATTCTATTGGTAGGCTCACAGTGACGGACTATACCATTCTATTGGTAGACTCACAGTGACGGACTATACCATTGTATTGGTAGACTCACAGTGACGGACTATACCATTCTATTGGTAGACTCACAGTGACGGACTATACCATTCTATTGGTAGACTCACAGTGACAGACTATACCATTCTATTGGTAGACTGACAGTGACTGACTATACCATTCTATTGGTAGGCTCACAGTTACGGACTATTCCATTCTATTGGTAGACTCACAGTGACTGACTATACCATTCTATTGGTAGACTCACAGTGACGGACTTCACCATTCTATTGGTAGACTCACAGTGACGGACTATACCATTCTATTGGTAGACTCACAGTGACTGACTTTACCATTCTATTGGTAGGCTCACAGTGACTGACTACCATTCTATTGGTAGACTCACAGTGACTGACTTTACCATTCTATTGGTAGACTCACAGTGACTGACTTTACCATTCTATTGGTAGGCTCACAGTGACAGACCATACCATTCTATTGGTAGGCTCACAGTGACGGACTATACCATTCTATTGGTAGACTCACAGTGACGGGACCATATCCCTTCTCATTGGTAGACTCACAGTGACGGACTTTACCATTCTATTGGTAGACTCACAGTGACGGACTATACCATTCTATTGGTAGACTCACAGTGACGGACTATACCATTCTATTGGTAGACTCACAGTGACGGACTATACCATTCTATTGGTAGACTCACAGTGACAGACTATACCATTCTATTGGTAGACTCACAGTGACGTGACTATACCATTCTATTGGTAGACTCACAGTGAACGACTATACCATTCTATTTG